CCTGATGTGGGCTTTTGAAACCTCCAACAAGGCCACACCTCTCAATCCTTCACAGTTTTCATTAACTGGGGACCAAGCATTCAAACATATGAACCTATGGAGGCTCTTCTCTTTCAAACCACCACACTGTGCTCATCCCCAAATAATACATCAAATTAAAGATATGCCATTCTCTGTGAGACAGTGCTCAGCTCTTACCTCACAGGGACCTGGCAGAGAGCATTAAAGAAGTCTGTAAACTCGGTGGCGCATGCCTTTAATCCCAGCACTTGGGAGGCAGAGGCTGGCGGATCTCTTGAGTCTGAGGCCAGCCTGGGCTACAGAGTGAGTTCCAGGACAGTCAGGCCTACAGAGAAACCCTGTCTGGAAAAACCAAAGTAAATAAACAAAAATTCATAAGCCAGGGTTGGCGATATGACTCAGCAGTAAAGGTGCTTGCTGCCAAACCTCATGATGTAAATTTGAACCCAGAACCCATGTAAAGATGGGAGAGGAGGACTGAGTCCACCAGCTGTCCTCTGATTTTCACACATACGTGCCCCCACCACAAACAATAATAGTAAATAAAGTTAAAAAAAGAGAGAGCCATGAGGCACGCTACATAAAACCTGTGTATAATATAATATGGGTTGTATGCTAGCAAACTTTGTCAAAGATCAGTTAGTTGAACAATTGCACTTTAAAAACGATGTTGCTAACATTGTAGAGATTGACACAATGTGTTCTTGCTCCTCAATGTTTGGAAGTAGAAAACTTGCCAAATCTGTGGGTAGCACAAGGCTTATAGGGAAATTTCTAGACAATGACCAAACCCATCTCCTGAATTTAACAGCCTGCAACTGTGGGTTCAGGCCCATCTCTAACCTCCATACTCTTGTTGTGGTGTGTGTGTATGCATTCATACATACATATCACACACACACACACACACACACACACACACACACACACACACACACGTAAAATAAAATGTCTGCCAAACTAATTTCCAGGTTTGCATTAAGGTTCTTTATTTATTTTCACAGGGTCTCCTAGAGCCCAAGCTATCTGTAAGTGTCCTATACAGCCAAGGGTGATCTGATCCTCCTGCCTCTGCTTCCAGGGTGCTAGGATCACAGGCTGTGCCATCATGCCAGGTTTATGTAGAGCTGGTGGTGAGATCAAATCAGATTGTGTATGTTAGGCAAGCACTCTACCAACTGACCAGATCCTCAGTCCTGCACTGAGATTTGGCAATGGAGGGACATTGTGGTGGTTTAATAGAAAATGACCCCAAAGGGAGTGGCACTATTAGGAGGTGAGGCTTTGTTGGAGGAAATGTGTCATTGTGGGGGCAGGCTTTGAGGTCTTTTTCTCTAGCTTCCCTCAGTGTAACAGTCAGTGGATTTCCTGTTGCCTCTGAGTCAAGATGTAGCACTCTCAGCTCCAGTACCACATCTGCCTGCATGCTGACATGCTCCCCTTCATGATCATAATGGACTGAACCTCTGAAAATGTAAGCCACCTCTGGGTTGGAGAAATGGCTCAGTGATTAAGAGCATTGGCTGCTCTTCCAGAGGTCCCTGAGTTCAATTCCCAGCAACCACATGGTGGCTCACAAGCATCTATTATGGGATCTGATTCCCTCTTCCGGTGTGCATAAAGACAGGTCACTCATATATATAAAATAAATAGATATTTTGCCAGGCAGTGGCAGGCGGGTCTCTGTGAGTTTGAGGCCAGCCTGGTCTACAGAGCGAGTTCCAGGACAGGCTCCAAAGATACACAGAGAAACCCTGTCTCGAAAAAAAAAAAATGTAAGCCACCTCAAACGTTTTTATTTATAGGAGTTGCCGTGGTCATGGTGTCTCTTTACAGTGATAGAAACCCTAATTAAGACAGACATCTTGGTAATTTCTGTGAAAGAGCATTAGAGAGCCAAAGAGACCACAGTGTGTCGAGTTGGTTAAAGTTGCCTCCAGCCCTGTCCTGTTTTCCTGGGACACCAAGTAGATCACCATCGGTCACAGTAGAAGAAAGTTAGTTTCCTCTCTGCTCTCCCTGTGCCCCTTGTATCTGAAGATCCAGGAACAGTGCCCAGCCCAAGGACACTGTGGGCCAGAAGAACAGGAAGGGGCCCCGAAGTACCTCACCCCCTAAGCGTGTTAAACTTCAATGTTTAATGCATATGGATGCTTTTAGGTCTTTTTATTTATTTGAAAAAACAACAAATACTGATGTCGCATCCGTTCAATCTCAGCACTCTAGAGGGAGAGATGGACAGAAGATCTCTGTGAATTCCAAGGTATGCTGGTCTAGTTCCAAGTCAGCAAGGGTGCACATAGTAAGACCTTGTCTCAAACAACAACAAACAGAACAAAACAACAGCAACAACTGCACAGAATATAAGGAAGTACCCCTGAGACCCTGTGGGGGGTAGTTTTCTGCTGTGGAGAGGGTAAGGCTGAGCTTAGGGCTGGCTTGGCTCTGAAACGGTCCCCTTTTCACCAGAGAGAGGGACTTCATTTAATGGTCCCGTAGCCTACCTCTAACGTTCAAAGAAAATGGCTTGCTAATAGATACATCTGTCCTCCAGTCAGAGGACAGCAAAAGGCTTTCCCCGTCCTGAAGAGTGCAGGGTGTTTTCCGTGGCTCCAGAATAAGAAGACACAATGGGCTCACCAGGTAAGTGACAGCTGGTAAACTAAGCAACTGCTGCTCCACCTCGGCTCCGGCTCTGTCAGGTACCAAGCACTCTGCTGGGGGCGGCGTCACTTGTCCACGTGGGTCAGCATGACCCACCAGAGAGATCATCACAGCCCACCACAGCTCCAGCCTTCCTAATCTGTCAGAAAGCTCTCTATTCTAAGGCAAATGCTGCCTCTCCCTCCCCTCCCCTCCCCCTCCCCACGTCTGAACCTCTTTTATGGATGTGTGCTTCCATTTTAAGGTGACAAATGAGCTCTACAGATAGAGGAAAGATCTAATGGATTGTCTCCTACCAAGTTTCCGAAGCAGATCCAGGGCAGCGAGCACACAGCAATGATCATAAAAGAATGTTTATTAGCCTAGCTATAGTGACTCATGCTTGTAACTCAGAACTTGGGAGGCAGTGGAAGGGACAGGAGGATTACCAGAAGTTTCAGACTAGACTGGCCGACACAGTGAGATCTTGTCTCATGAAGAAGAAGAGGGGGAGGCAGGGGAGGTGCTGGGGAGATGTCTCAGACATTAAGAGTGAATACTGCTTTTGCAAAGGATTGGAGGTACAGTTCCCAGTGCTTACATCAAGCTAATCACAACTGATTGTAACTCCAGGGAATCCAACACCCTCTTCCATGGGCAACTGCACTTACATGTGTATGCCCCCACAACAACATACACACACATACACACACATTTAAATACAATTTTTAAAAAAAATTTAAAAGCATGTTTTTTGTTTTTTTTGTTTTTGTTTTTTGTTGTTGTTTGTTTTTCGAGACAGGGTTTCTTTGTGTTGTTTTGGTGCCTGTTCTGGATCTCGCTCTACAGACCAGGCTGGCCTTGAACTCACAGAGATCCTCCTGGCTCTGCCCCCTGAGTGCTAGCAATTATTCTTTAGGAGTGGTTGTAGAGTAAAGATAGACCTCCCCTTGGGCAAGGTTAAAATCCTTATCTAAAATCTAAAACATTTTCTTTTAGATAAGTTTGCCAAGACAAACTTTTATTTGAATATAATGTACATATATATGTTTATATACATATATATATATAAATGTAACAGGGCCTCAGACCTTAGGACAGCTGAATCCATGATGGAAGTACCATTCAGGCTGTGAAGCTCAGCACGTAGACAATAGTAACACCTGCCAAAACTAAAACAAAGGCCTAATACATCAAAGTCCATAGTTCTGGGAAAGTCTCAAAACATACTAACCTTGCCTTTCGGCTTCTGTAGTTCCACTTCTGGCTAACTGTTCTTGTTAACTGGAGTATGTCAACCCAGAACATGTTTTTTGTACTTTAAAGTTCACCCTGAGAAAGACTCAGTGCTGCACTGGGATCCCGGACACCTGGTATAGTTGCCAGCCAACTAATAAAGACTTTCTATTGGCTTAAACCCATGTCCCAGCAGTCTTCTCTGATGAATACCCCACAACATAATCACACATGTACAGACACACATATATGGAGAGGAGAGGTGAGGATATATAGATATAGATAGACAGATAGATAGACAGACAGATAATCTGTCTTAGGAAGCCTCAAACTGGATATGTGAGGATGACCCTGAATTTCCTAATCTTTCTGCCTCTGCCTCCCAAGGGCTAGTATTACAGAAGTATGCCACCATACCTGGGTTCATGTGGTGTTGGGGATCAACCAGGGCTTTGTGCATGTTAGGCAAGCAATCTATCTCAACTGAGAGCTACATTCCCAGCCCCGAGGTAGACTTTTTTTTTTTCCTTTTTTCTTCCTCTTTCTTTTTTCTTCTTTTTTTGAGATAGGGTTTCTCTGTAGCCCTGGCTATCTTGGAACTTGCTCTGTAGACCAGGCTGGCCTCAAACTCAGAGGTCTGGCTGCCTCTGCCTCCCAAGTGCTGGGATTAAAGGCGTGCACCACCACTGCCTGGAAGCATCCATCTTTTAAATTAATTAATGCATTTTTATTTTATGTGTCTGGATGTTTTGCCTGTATATATGTCTGTGTGTCACATGCATGCCTGATGCCCCAGAAGCCAGAAGAGACATTCAATCCTTTGGAACTGGAGATACAGAAAGTTGTTGGCTGACATGTGGGTACTGGGAATCAAACCTGGGTCCTTTGGAAGAGGATTCAGTCAGTGCTCTTAGCCACTGAGTCAACTCACCAGCCCCTATTTTTATTTTTTACTGGTGGAAGGTGATGGGATGGCTCCTAAGCTCTTGGGCACACTAGGCTGGTGCTCTGTCACTGAGCTACACTCCCAGCCACTTCTTTCTCTGAGGAATATTTTTGTTTGACCCAATAAAAGCCCAGTTTTCTGTTAGACTATTCATTTGTTAAAATAAATATAGGTCAAAGATTTATTTAACTCCTGAGTGCATGGGCCAGCATTTGGAAAGAGATGTACTCTTAGATTCTTGTGGAAAATTTGTACTGATGAAATCTTCAGTTGAAAAACCATGATGAGGGCTGGAGACATGGCTCAGCAGTGAAGAGCATTTGGCTTTCTTCCAGAGGTCCTGAGTTCACTTCCCAGCACCCAGACAACACCAGCTCAATGCCCTCTTCTGGTTTGTAGGCAGACATGCAGGCAAAGCACTTGTGTACATTAAACAAACAAACAAACAAATAGAAAGAAGGAAAAAAAGAAAAGAAAAAGAAACACCACGATGAAGTTCAATGTCATCTTCAGCTACACAGTGAGTGTGGTGATATTTTATTTGTGCTTTAATAAATAAAGCTTACCTGGAGATCAGAGGAAATAGCAAGCCATTTTAAGCAAACAAAGAAGTCGGGCAATGTAGTACACGCCCTTAATCCTATCAGTTGGCAGGCAGGATCTCTGTATGTTCAAGGCCACACTGGAAACAGAGCCAGGTGTGGTGGCACCTGCCTCAAATACCAAAACTAGTTAACCATGGAGGTCTGGAGGTCTGTACAGACAGACAGGAAGTGACAGAGCTAGGTAGGAAGAGGAAGTGATGTAGCTGAACAGAGAGAGCAAATCAGATGGCAGAACAGCAAGGCATATAGACGTGGGTAGACAGGAAGTAACTCGCTTTTGGAAGCTGCAGAGTTGGTGAGGTAAGGTTGGCTGGTGGCTTTCCCTATTTTCCCTGATCTCTCTTAGGCTTTCATCCCTATATTTGGCTCCGTGTTTTTTATTTAATAAGACCATTTAGAAATTCATCTACAAGTGAGTTTGAGGACCTGTCTTTAAAAACACACACACACACACACACACACACACACACACACACACACACACACACACATACACACACGCTCACGAAACAAAAACAGTTGTGATTGATTCTTGGGGTGGAAGTGGGAGGGACACATTTTTCTTGAGTGTCCCAGTATTCAAAGCAGACAGAGTTTGCTTCCTCTGAGAGGTAGAAAGGAAGTCAGTTTACTAATCAGGATGAAGATAAATGTCTTCTAAGGTCTTCACAAAGGGAACCATGGGCCAAGAGTGATGGTTGCTTGTGGACTACTTTTGGGGAGCGCAGGCTCCAAACTAAGTACAATTCAGCAAAGCAGCTCCATGAGGGGCTGGAACATTTGGAAGACCCACAGCACCAGAGCAGTGTTTATTAGCAATCTTTGAAAATTATTCTCTGGCTCCAGGTAGATCGAGAGGCTCAACCTTCCAGGGGGCAGAGGAGCTGGGGTGAAGATATGCTGAGCTGTGGGCAGTGGGATGGTCACTCCCTCATGGAAAGTGGTAAGCCTCATGGAAAGATGAGAAATCAGATCTGCACAATGACAGGTAGATGGAGTAACTTCCTCAGACATGCAAGGAAGCAATCTGTTTTCTCCAATGGAGTGTCACAGGGTATGTCAACCACATTTTAGGGTGGGCCCTGTGCCCAGAAGTAGTTCCCAACAAAAAACCAACTCAGTGGCATTTTTTGTGGACTTTTTGTTTCATTTGCTTTGACTTTTTTGTCTTATTATTCTTATATTCATATCTTCAATATGTTGCATGAAAAACAATTTTAATAAAAATAATTTAAAAGATATGAAAGGAAGCAGGAGCCCCAAGCTAAGCATTACTACCAGCATCATTAGCATCAATATTAGTACCAGTGTTATCAGCTAATTTAACATCAGCATCAGCACCAGTATCCTCAGCATCAGTACCAGCATCATCACTTTCATTATCATATCATCATCATCATCATCAGCAGCAGCAGCAGCAGCCTACATTATAGAAGAAAGCAGTAAAATTCGATCTGGGCACATTCTCAAAGCAGGTGTTTCCAATGCAGCCAAATGAGGCTGCACATAGAATTTTGTGTTCTGACAAATTGCCATGGTAATCACACTGTTCTTCTTCATTTGACAGCTTATTATCTAGCAGTCGAAGTAATTGGGGAAATTTTTGTTTCTGTGTTACATGGATCTAACAGTGGGAATATCAGGGAAGGGGACGGAGGGAGGCAGAGGCATCATGCTTCAAGGCTTGGAAGAGGAAGAGGCAAAGAGAGAGGTAGAGACAGAGAGGAAGAGGGAAAGAGAGAGGGAGGGGCTGAGTGGAGGGGAGGGCAGGCACAAGGGAGGGAGGAGGCAGAGCAGAAGAGAAGAAAGGAAGAGAGAAAGTGGAAGACAGAGTCTGGCTGATGCTAACAGGAAAAGATTGGAGGATGCAGAAAGGAGGAGGCTTAGGGTCCCCGAGGGCATCAGCCCCAATTGAGAGGCAGCTGGGCAGAGTCTAATCAGGGCCTGTGGTTGGCAGGTTCCACAGAGAACATCTGTGTCTTTCCTCAGTAAGATAAGGTTGCAGGCAGTTTCCCTTTGAGCCTCAGAAGCCCCTACAGGGAGCAGCTGCACTTGAGTGTCGAGACAGCATGCAGACACTGTCCTCTGTTGCACATCCAGGGGGCCCAGGTCATCTACTGGAGGGGGAAAATTCCTAGTCTGACTCAAGCTACATGCTTCCATTTCAAAGCACATCGTTGACTTTCCCTGGAGAAATAAGGATCTGGCCATCAGGACAACTGAGAGCAGCAGACACTTTTATGAACTTCACTTTCCGTATGATGCTCCCACTGTGCCTGCGGTAGATGGTCAAGAAGGGGCCAGTAAATCATCACTGAGTTGTCATTGAGGACTTGATTCATTTATTATTTTATGTGTATGAGTGTTTTGTCTGCATGTATATATGTGCACTACATGCATGCCTGGTGCTTGAGGTCAGGAGAGGGTATTGGATCCCTGGGGACTGGAGTTACAGACAGCTGTGGGCTGCTGGGTGCTGGGAATCTAACCATGGGGCCTCTGCAAGAGCAACAAGTAAGCGTTTTTAATTGCTGAGCTAACTGCAGCCCCAAGGACTTGTTTTAAGGATCTTTGCTATACCATTCAGCTGCCTAGGTCAATCTGAGAACTCTGCCAGCTCCTCCAAAGGACCTTGGGTTCGGGGACTAGGAGACCCTGAGAGTGTAATAGCTCAGTTAGGCTCAACCTGGTTGCAAACCCTTTCTAAGATCTGCAGGACCAAGAAGGCTTGATGCTTGTTGACTATGCCCCAACTTGGCTCATCAGCCCCAACCAAGGTGATAATGGAGGGAAGGGGGGTTGATGATGGGACATTGTCTTTAGATAGGATTGCCCTGCCAGTGTGTGAAGGGAGTCCATTTACACAGAGTGGAGAGCAGAGCCCTTGACAAAGAAGTAGAGAGCCCAAGGCAGGAGGAAACGGATCCCAGTGACATTGACTAAAATCCTGTGTTGACCTCTGTCTGAACCAGAAAGCATTTGTTTGGATTTGAGGTCCCCCAAAGGCCTGTGTGCTGAAGGCTTGGGCTGCCATATGGCAGTGTTGAGAGGCAGAGTTCTGGGAGCCGAGTGAATCCCATGCACTCTGGGTTTATTCACAGATGGATTCATATATAGTTTTAGGAGTTAATGAGAGGTGATGGAAACATGGAGATGGAGTGTGGTTGGAGGAGGTAATGGAAACAGGGAGATGGAGTGTGGTTGGAGGAGGCTGGTCACTGGAGCTGTGACCTTAAAGAGGTTCCTTGCTAGTGGTCTACCATGAAGTGAACATTTTTGTAATGGTCTGTCTTGCCACACACCAGAAACAATGGAGCCAATCATCCATGGACTGAAACTTCTGAACCTGTGGGCCCAAAGAAATGCTTCTTCCTTTGTGTTGATTCTCTCTCTCCCTCTCTCTCTCCCCCTTCCTCCCTCCCTCTCCCTCTCTTTCAGTGATAGAGTGGCTAAGTGGTTAAGAGTACTGGCTGCTCCAGGTTCTCTCTCTTGTTGCTCCAATTTCAGGGGATCCACTGTCCACGTCTGAACTCTGCAGGCAGCAGACAGTCATGTGTGCATACATACAGGCAATGCCTATGCACATTAAACTTTTCAACATTTTTTGTTAGACAGAGTCTCTCTACATACCCGTGGCTGTCTTGACGCTTACTATGTAGAACAAGTTAGCCTCAAATTCACAGAGATCTATGTGCTGGGATTTAAAGATATGTGACACCACACCTGGCTGTAAATTTTGTTTTAGTTAAAAATGTTTGAATGAGCCGGGGCGCTGGTGGCACATGCCTTTAATCCCAGGACTCGGGAGGCAGAGGCAGGCGGATCTCTGCGAGTTCGAGGCCAACCTGGTCTACAGAGCGAGTTCCAGGAAAGGTGCAAAGCTACACAGGGAGACCCTGTCTCGAAAACCAAAAAAAAAAAAAAAAAAGTGTTTGAATGAGGACTAGAGATGCAGCTTGGATACTAAGGTGCTTGCCTAGCATGTATGAGGCCATTGGATTGATTCTTAGCAACACACAAACCAGGTGTGTGTGCATGCATGCCTATAATTCTATCACTGAGGAGACAGGATTGCCTACCAGTCTGAGGCCAGCCTTGTCTACACAAGTGAGTCCCCAGCCAGACCAGGAACTGTTTCAAAAAATCAAACCAATCAGAGAAATGAAAACCATACTTTTTGTTGTTAATGCTTTGAGATAGGGTATTTACTGGGTAGCTCAAGCTGGGTTCAAATGCGTGACCCTCTGCCTCCCAAGTGCTGACAGCAACACATCTTAAGGATGGAAAACAGACACCAGATTAGGATCCATTATTCTGATTTTTGTTTACATAAAATTTGCAGAGTGTAACACTCCCCAGCAGGGTACAGTCCTTTTCAGTGTGGCAGTCTGATAGAGGTGGAATGGGGCTTTTTCTCCCTTGAGTCTTCACATGGGGGTTTGTTTGGACATTAGAATGTAGGAGAACATGTGTCTGATTTTTAGAGCCCAGTCTAGCCCACTAGACATGACAAATGTAGCCAAATGTCTCTGGACCAGCCCAGCCCCCTCCACAGGACGCTGGGCTCACCTCTGTGTCGCCATCCAAAGAAGTCATATCGGTTGCTTTAAATCACTTTGTTGCCATTATTATACTTTCCTTTTCAGTGATGGAACTCAGGCCTTGCACACGCTAGGCAAGTGCTCTACCATGATACAGCATCTCCAGTCTTTTATTTTTTACTTTTTATTTTTGTAAGACAGGGCCTCAGGCCTCAGTATCTAACTCAGACCGGCTTGAAGCTCACTTTCTTCCTGCCTCTGCCTTCCCAGAGAGCTGGGTTATAGGCAGGCATCACAGGTGACCCAATCCACTAAATTTTGCAATCAGGAAGTAAAAGCTGAGACACCCTAACCCTGATTTCTCATGTCACAGCACATCATTTCTTCCACACTCTTAAAAATCATTTAGCTGGTTTTTGAGCCAAGGTCTCACGCAGCCTCAGATCAAGTGCTGGGGTGACCGGTGTGCCACCATGCCTAGTGATGAAATATTTATAAGCTTCCTTTGGTTGCTGACCCCGGAGATCAACCCAGTCAGCTTAAAATAAAAGGGGAATACAATGAGAAGGTTCCTGGGGCTTGTTGAGGGGTAGGGAGAGAAGTCTGGCCTCTGCTCTTAGCAGCA